CATATTTATTTTAAAAAATATTGTATGCAAAGAAAAATATTGTAAGCAAATAAACATATGTTTCTATAATGTACAATGCATATATTTTTGTACATTCATGTAACCATTGCTTTTTTTTAGGTACAACACCAGCAGCCCCACACCGTATGACCAGATCCGTCCCACTCTACTTAATCCGTCAAAGGAAAGTGCTTCTGTGTCCGATACGGAGAGCCTCCCGAGCCCCTGCACCTCCCCTCCACAGCCCCGCAGACACTACGGCGAGTCTATCACCAGCCTGGGCAAGGCCAGCATTATGGGTGAGATGGAGAGAGAGATCATTAAAGGCGTCTGGAATAGTAAAACACTCGCAGGGCGAGCAGGATGTATACTGTGCGGTGGAGGAGTAGGATTACGCTTCCCAAATACTGAGATAATGGCAGCCTGCCTTCAGTTACTGCGTATCTGCAGTTTATAGCTCTTGATTTTAGTGCGCAAAGCGATAAATAGAAACAGCTCAGCAAAGCATTGGATCAATACAAAGCAATTAGGAAGTGTCACAGAAACAACTAGAGATTTGGAAAAGCCCTTAACAATAATATATATATTAATGGCCAAAACAAAAATATCAGAAATAAACTAGATTATCAAAATCTCTGCTTAGATTTAAATATATGTATTAATTCTGAATCCATTGAATGGCGCTGCTACCGATGAGCCATTACATTATGACCATCTATCTAATAACCTGTAGGACCTCTTTTAGCCGACAGAACAGTGGCTATGTGGCAAGGTATTAATTCAACAAGGTGGTCTTCTGGGGGATCTGGTACCATAATGTCAACAGCAGGTCCTCCAGTTCCCATACATTGTAGCGCGAACCACAAATGTTCTGCTGGCTGAATTTGGAGGCCAAGGCATTAGAAGAAATTCACTATCATGTTCCTCGAACCACTCCTCGTTTACTATAAATTGCTATAGTATTTTTTAATGTGGGCTGATACACTTAAAATTAGGAATATCAACTTTTACAACCCTTTTCTGTTAGTTCTTAATTGTTAGTTTGTCAGCTGCTTTTAGTGCTCTCTTGTTGTTTCCAATGCATTTAAAAGTCATTAATTATTTAAAGGTTTTTAGTTTTGTCTGCACTCTAGTCCACAATGACAATCCCTCTGTTAATCTGGTTTGTGTGATGTTCCTCTCCAACAATTACATTTAATATTTCATTTGCAGAATGAGGAATTTGGAAGATACGCTTCGGCATTTACAAACCTCATCCTCAAAACCCTTTCCAGCCCTGAAATTCAAGGTACGTTAGTATAACTGTACCCTTCCTCTCTCCTTCTCCCCTCCTGTTTGTGTTAGTCTTATTCAATAAACCATGTGATGTGTAGGTGGAGAACTTCTTCTGCATGGGATCTCCTCTGGCTGTGTTTTTGGCTTTGCGAGGGGTCCGTCCTGGAACCAACGGAACACAGGACCACTTCCTCCCCAAATCCATCTGCCAGAGGCTTTTCAACATCTTTCATCCCACGGATCCTGTAGTGAGTGTGATTGGATTGCCGTGTAAATATAGCCCATGATCAGATTTCTCTTGTTACTGGTCCATATATATTATTATGAGCCAAGTGGGAAACAAAACCTAGTCTAGCAATAAAATAATTTTATTATAAATGAATTCTAGCATTAAAATACATGTAATAATATTAATAATTAGCTCTAATCTGTTGAAATGGTCCCTAAATTCTAAATAATTCAAATGCACTCTTACAAATTGTGTTTTTTTAATTAAACATATTAAAAAATATATATTATTTTTTTATTATTATTATTATTATTTTTTTACTGGCACATTTATGGAACCTTTCCATTCCACTAAAGCTTCTTTATAGTGGAAAAAGGTTCTTTAGATTATAAAATTTTTCTTCACACTAAGAAAAAATGGTTCTTTGAACAACTCTTTACTGAAAGGTTTTTTAAGGAACCCAAAAAAATGATTCTTCCATTGCCCCACCCCTATTTCAGTCTTTCTACGTCAAAATTTCACATTTAATTTAATGTGTTACTTATCATTTCTTTGAAATTAATTGTGAAATTTACTTGTAATTTCTCAGTGAAAATAGTTTCTACACAATGTTTTTTTTTTTCCCCAGTATAGTCCAATATAGTTGGTATTGTAATCAAAGATATAATATCTGAATATCAGTCAGGAAATATAAATAATAATCTAAATAAAGACAAATGGTTTCCTTTTAGGCATACAGGTTGGAGCCTCTCATCCTGAAGCATTATAGTAATATATCACCTGTTCAGATTCACTGGTGAGTAAAATAATGCCTTCGCTAAATACATTTAAAAATTAAATTCAAGAGTTAAATTGAAAAAAAACAAAAAAAAACAAAACAAAACAAGCTGCTACCGATGAGCCATTACATTATGACCATCTATCTAATAACCTGTAGGACCTCTTTTAGCCGACAGAACAGTGGCTATGTGGCAAGGTATTAATTCAACAAGGTGGTCTTCTGGGGGATCTGGTACCATAATGTCAACAGCAGGTCCTCCAGTTCCCATACATTGTAGCGCGAACCACAAATGTTCGACTGGCTGAATTTGGAGGCCAAGGCATTAGAAGAAATTCACTATCATGTTCCTCGAACCACTCCTCGACAATTCTTTCAGTGTAGCATGGCGCATTATCCTGTTGGTAACGGCCATCACTGGCAGGGAACACAGTTGCTATGAATGGGTGCACTTGGTCCGCAACGATGTTCAGATACCTGACAGCTGTCAGGAATTGTGCTATTTGGATAATGGGGCCTAAAGTGTTCTAAGAAGAAGTGTACACCCAACAGTGCATCCTCTGTTGGTAATCGGTGTATCTGCGATTGGCCCTGCAGTCGTTGTGAACAATGTGCGGCAGTGTCCTATCCCCTCTGGCATCAGTGAGCTGCGGATGACACACGGCCGGACGACGGTTCTTCGTTTGGCCATCTGTGCACCACTTTTGATACGTACTCACCACAGCGGCATGTGAACAACCCACAAGGCGCGCCGTTTCTGAGATCGAAGTTCTAAGGTGCCGTGCCATCATAGTTTGTCCTTTATCAAACTTAGATAAATTGGCAGCTTTTCCCATTCTGACACCGAACACTCTACTGACGAAAAGCCGGTGCTCCAGTGGTATATACACTGCTCTGTGAACTGCACCTGCGGCACCATTTGGTTGCCAGGTACATTGGTGTATATATACACAGGTGCATCTCAATAAATTAGAATGTCATGGAAAAGTTCATTTATTTCAGTAATTCAACTCAGATTGTGAAACTCGTGTATTAAATAAATTCAATGCGCACAGACTGAAGTAGTTTAAGTCTTTGGTTCTTTTAATTGTGATGATTTTGGCTCAC